TAAAGGATTTGGGTGAGCTTGGGTATTTTCTTGGCATTGAGGTTCACTGAACACCTGAGCAACTGGTTTTGTGCCAAAGTAAATTTGTTCGAGAGTTGTTGGAACAAACGGGTATGGTCAGCTCTAAACCTGTGCCTACCCCGATGGTAGTTTCACCTAAGTTGACTTGTGATGCTGGGAAGCTGCTTGCGGATGCTTTGATGTATCGTAGTGCTGTTATGGCGTTGTTATATTTAAGTCACACACGACCAGATATAGCTTTTAGTATTAATCGTGTGGCTTAACATATGCATCGTCCTTGTGACGGTCATTGGTTTGCTGTGAAGAGAGTTTTGCTTTACTTGAATGGAACAATTGATCAAGGTTTGGTGTTTCGGTCGTCGTCTTCATCTGAAGCTTGTTGTGTAACTGTGTTTGTCGATGTTGATTGGGCAAGTAATGTAGATGATCGTCGGTCTGTTTTTGGGTCGTGTGTGTTCCTTGGGTGTAATATGGTTTCATGGAGTACTAGAGGCAGAAGACGGTGGCTCGGTCGACAACTGAGGCTGAATATTGTAGCATTGTTGATATGGTATCTAGGTAGTATGGGTTAAGTCCTTATTAACTGATATGGGTGAGTCGGTGTCTACGACTCCGGTTGTATGGAGTGATAACACGAGTGCCATTGCGATGAGTGCTAATCCAATATTTCATGCTCATTCTAAACAAATCGAATTGGATCTGCATTTTGTGCAAGAAAAAGTGGCTCGTGGAGCTGTTCAGGTGACTTATGTTCCTGCAAACCACCAAGTTGCAGACGGGACTAAACCCTTGCCGAAGTCTGCTCATGTTTTGTTTCGACAGAAAGTTCAAGTTGCTGATGCTGGAAAAGAGACAGCTGAAAGGGACGGGGAGAATGTTGAAGCATGAATAGTAGTCACATGGTTGTGTGTATATTGAGAAATAGTCTTTTATGCAGTTTTTTAGAGCTAGTATGTACAGTTGTTATGCTGACGTTCATGCAATTAGAGGCTTCATCGACTAGCCTATGTTGTATAAATATGCTACAGTGGTTCTTGAATAAATGAGCAACATTTTATGCACGTTTTAAGGATATGCTTTTTGCAGTTTTCTTTAGGTTGTTTAACATCAAGCATCACAAATTTCCCAATAATATAAAACAACGAAACCGCATAGAATAATCGAGATCCATTCTTGTTTTAAAGAAAGAGTCTACTATAAAACCATGACCTTTTTGTTACCTTGCTGCAACCTGGTACAAGTTCTTGAAACAATCTCATTCTCTCACTTATCTTTTCCCTTTTCACATGCTATTATGAACGTTATCGGATTCAATATAAAATTAAGAACGCAAAACGTTGTTCTTTCGATATGAAAACAGTAATAAGTTACGCTTTATTTCAGGCTGTGATTGTTAGTAGTCCGGCCTCTTCTTGCTCTAACATGGATGTAATTCTCTTTAGGAGATTCCCCCATTTGAGAATTGTCTTTGGCATGTTTTCAACTTGCTTATCAAGTGAATTTGCACCTTATTAATTAGGTTCTATCCGAACAAATATTCTTTTTGGATGAACTGAGTTATAATCTCCCTACAACGTAAGCTTGACAATTGAGGGTGATTTCAACTCAGTTAGAGACAAGAGTGAGACTGTGAGAGGAACGAAATGCGTAATATAATGAGTTTTGCCAAAGTATAAAAATTACACGTATAAAAAACTTAATCGAAGGGATACAAAGAGGGGCACACAAAAAGACAGAATTTCTGTTCGTATAATCTTATGCACCCTTAGTGAATAATAGCATATCATTGATATATTGATAACCTATTTTAAGAACACACTTAGTGTGCAAGATCCAAATGTTGAAGTTTCTTCTGATGAACTACTAAAAAAAACACCGGAAAACCTGAATTTAACCTACCATGCACGAAACCCTTAATTGTTATAAACCCTCGTAGACAAATCTCACCGCAAAGGAAATTAATTCCCATTATGCGGACAAATAGAATTCCTCAATTAATTTCCCGTGTGCTGAACCCTCGGATATCCATCGCCTCCTCGGTTGAAATATGCTCCTCGATTGTTGCTGCTGTTACCATAGCCACTATAGTTTCCACGTCCTCTTGCTCTCTCGTTTCTGTACGCAACCCCATTTCCATATGAAGACCGACCTCTGTTACCCCGAGAAGTAGATCGTTTTTCTTCAACTGCTTTACGACCACCAATGTTAATAGGTGAAGCCTCTAAGGCACTTTGAACAGAACGTGCCACTTCAAATTCAACGAAACCAAAACAGACCCCCTTTGACTTCGAACTTGAATACCACCCCTCTTAATACTTCCAAACTTCTTAAATTCATTCTCCACCATGTTTGGTGTTGCATTCAAAGGTAATCCTTTGATGTATACAGAGTGACCTTCTTCAGCTTTCACATCTCTATTATTTCCGTTTTCAACAACATTGTTGCTGGGAATCTGTGAATCAGATGATGTTGCAGCAGATCTTGGTTGCTCATGAGACTTTGCTGAAGACTTCACAGGGGATTGTGTAGGGATTGATACATGTATTGCATTCTCCTTGAGAATAGATGCGTATGATTTCTTTGGCACTTGCTCCATTTTGGAGTTAGAATCAGCAACCATCTGTGAATAGTCAACAACCTCCATCACTGGGGTCTCCTCTTCTTCGTTATCCTCAGAAGGCTTGTACACTTTCCCATTAGCTTCTTCTGGCAACGGTTCCAATTGCTGAATGTGATTCTCCAAAGCAGGTGAAGAATCTTGACCCCCACTCTCATCAACGTATCTAAACATATCATTTAAAACAAAATAGGCCTTTTCTTGGGGAGCCAAAAAGGAATTTTTGAGTGAATTTCCGCTCCACTTTGTCCGTTGAAGTTGAATAACCAGTTACAATAACCAGTACTCCTCCATTGTGAGAGTCGTGTGCATCCACACTTGTTATATCTGTTGTGAGTTCTTCTTACCCAAGTGCTAGTATTTTCTCATTGATGGCTTGCATGGTGGTGATTATACTTATGACGCCATTTTCATCAGGTCGACCAAGCTTACTAGTATCACGGTAAAATCGGTGAAGCAGTTGAGGATATTGATGTAAGATAAGGTAGTATTGATCGAAAAATACATTCCCAACAAAAATCGGGAGCAGCAGCTGTAATTCCGGCAGGAATTTGCTGTGTAGATGCCATTGACGAATTGTAAACCAAAAGATGAGTGAGATTTTATCTATGTAATTTTTGATAGATTTACATGACTCGTCACTATTATAAAATATTTTAATAAAAAATGAGAAAAGAATAAAAACTTTATCTCCCTCTAATTCTTTTCTAACTATTTATAAAAATAAAATATTTTAAAATTGACCAAAGATCGTCTAATCACCAATTACGATTTTCATTTAAATAAAAATAAATAAATAATCTATTAATCTTTCTAACCTGTTTATTCTATAAAAAAATTTGTCCAACTGTAGGTACTTTTTCAACAAAGTAAAATGTATGGTTAGTTGTAAGTTGGTACATACTAAAACTAATTTTCATTTTGAATTGATTCAATTATGTCAATTTAGATTGAGTTAATTTTTATATATTATAATTAATTTAATTAAAAATTAATAAAAAATAAATATTTTTAAATATATAAATTATTATAAAATAATATTTATTTAAAAAATTAATCAATTAATAATACATATTTTATAATTAATAAATATAATTGTTCAAACGAAATAATGTTCGATATGTAGCAGGCGCTAATATTAAAATTATTGAACAACGTGTGACGTTTCCCGTTCCTGAGGATAAGCATACCACAAAACGCGTAAGGGTAGGACCACCGCACCGCCCTCTGCTTACCAAGTTTCTTACGCAGGCTGCCTGATGTGGGTCTCGTCCCCACTATATAAAGGTAGTCGCTTTATTCGTTTGTTTTTAAATTTTCTTGTCAAATTATATACAAATTCTAACAAAACTCTTCTTCTGTTTGCCTTCTTCTTTAATATCGCCACCTGTTCCGGCGGAGATGCTGTCACCGACCTACGGTAAAACAAATCTGGTCGAATACTCGCCTTCCTTCATGATCGAAACCGACATAAATCAGGTGCCGGATCCCATTTCCAGCCTCCATAACAGCTGGTTTTAGTCTAGTTTAACAGATTGAGAAATCAAACTAGCCTTGTTTATCTGTAAATTTAATCGGGTAAGAGTCCCTGACTTTCAAAGCCATTTCCGACGTGATCAGCTGCCGGATCTGGCCTTTTAAGACCTCATAACAGCTGGATCTACTCTCATTTAACCGATGAAGAGCCTTCATTGACATAAAGCCAACTGAAAAGTGAAATTTTCTATATAAAAAAAAAGAAAAGGAAAAGAATTCATCTGGGCCAAAGATTACAATTATTAAGAAATGACTCTTTCACTGCTTATATTTTTTTGTTTCGGAAAAAAATTGAAGAATGTTGGGTTCTTATGGTTGCAGCAGTGAGAACTTTGATACGCTGAAGAGTGGACGAGAAGATAAGATGAAGAATCCAAAGACATAAGTTCAGAGTTCGTTGAGGCAGATGGCAATGGGTAAGAAACAATTACTACAAGTTAAGAATTTTTTTTATTTTCAATCGTTTGTATAAATAATAATAATAATCTTAATGGTTTACATTATTGTTGTATATATTGATTTTATTCTAGTTTTAAGGAAACAAACGTGATCTTTACTTTGAAAAGTATTTTTCAAAAAAGTAAACGGCAAGTTATGGAATCATAGAGTTCGATAAATATAAAATACATGTAGTATGTAAAAAAGCATGACTGTGCCTTTTAATAATCAAACCCACTGTCCGGTGGGCCAATAGAAATAAGAGTCGGTCGATTGTCGTTGGATAGGCGCGATACTCGCGATTACAACGCGCAAACCGCAAGAAAACGTTCGATCTCCTCATCTGGGTTTTTATAAATAAACGGGAGGAAAAGGATGGTATGGTTCACAGCCAGCAAGAAGAGGTGATCTTACGATGAATACCTTCAGCCGACAAAAGTTTCCCCTACATGTCTTTCCTTTTACTAAACCCCGTTGTCGCATTTCCCTCAACCGGGTATTTGAACCTCCCACCTTTTCTTTTTATGTCTCTCACACTTGATACACTGTTTGTTTTCTTTACTTCTACCATCCGTAATTTTTATTTTTTACTATTTTACTGATGTAAGTATTCGAATTCAGATTTGAATATCGAATATCGGTATGCATCTATTACGGTATGATATCATTATCATGATCACGTTTGTTACTACATATATATCGTATTGGTGATATATCATCAATACGAGCCTTCGACATGAGTTGTTGAAAAGTCGAAATGAATACTTTTTTAACATGGAATTTTACTTGGGTAGAGGAAGAAGTCGAAAACCCTTCGCCGGCATATGAAGCGGCTGCGATCGGAGATGGAAGAAATAAGTCAGGAACAAGGAGAGATAAAAGAAGGGCAAAGACTAGTGAGAGAAAAATTTGAAGCCGTGGAAATGGAGTGCGAGCAGCTTCGAAAGGAGACTAACATGATAATGCAGCAGAGCATGAGCACCCAGCTCCGCCTTGCATTCATGTTCCAAATTTTAAAAGCCAGAGAAAACCAAGACTTCAACCAAGCCGCTCAACTCACCGCCGCTCTCCGGTTGTTCTCTATGTGTTTATTATAATCTGTTATGACTTGGAGAAATTAGTGACCCCTTTGCTGACATTACTTGTTCCTTTTTTTTATGCCACAGGGAGCTGATAGCCGGGGAGAATGAGCAGAAAGCATGAAACAGTGAGAAATATATGAATAAAAGTCTAAGGGTGGCGAAGAGGAGCTGCTCTTTCTATCGTATAAATTGATAATTAATTAATCGTTTTATGTACGTCGTTCTAGTCAATGTTATTCTTCTAATTCCGGCTTTAGCCTTTCGTGTGTGTTTGAATTTTATGCGTGTGGTGTACGAATGATTTTCCTATTAAGTTACATTGTATGATATGTTCTCGTTTGTTACTTTTTGGATTAGGTTCGAACGTGACTTCAAAAGTTATACTCAATTATAATTACGTCACTCACCGTAATCCAAATAAGATATTTGTTGACATTTTAACAATATTTTATTTGATATAAAATCTTAATTTATAACCCTAACCCTAAATCACAAATTCATTTATTTCATTCTCTTCTCATCTTCTCAACTCTTTTCATCTTCATCAACAGCAGAAGTAAGAAATAGAAAAGAGAGGATCAATGGTAACAAAAGCAGAACAAAACGGTGGAATGGAACAATCCATTGCATATCTAATCTGTGGGTGTACATATTTGGTTATCATTCATTTGAAATTCCAACAACCCATTCTGGTAAGCTTAGACCTTACGTATACTGCTCCTCCTTCGGGTAGCTCTCTCTTCAAGCACTATTGCAGTATTCCCCTCAATTCACTGTTTCTCTTTTCATTGAACGCAGCAAAGAACAAGACACCATCATTGAACGGGTAATCAATTTGTTAAACACAATCAGAGCATCACCATCATTATTGAAGCTATCATACTTTTTCCCTTTTCCACCTGTAGAGATGGATTTCTTATTTAAAGTATCGATGTGGGTAGAAAAAGGGTTAACAGAATGTTAAACCTATATTTTGATATAACATATAAGGACAAAAATATTTTTGGACTTAATTGAATTTAATTAAATATTTCAAAAATAATTGAAAGTCCAAAATAACTTTAAAAATATATTTTCTAAATTGATTTATATATGAAATGTTTTTGAATTAATTAAAATATGTTGAAAGTGTTTAAAATATATTTAAAACTTTTAAATTATGAAAAGTACTATTTAATCACTATTTTCCACTATTTATAGTACTGTTCATATATGAATAGTGAGTTTCTAAATTTTACTTAAAGTTTCGAAACTTTGCCTCTAAACCAGTTTTAACATTCTGATTTTCTTTAACGGTCATATTTTTAAGTAATAGTTTTGAAACTTTCAAAAATAAATGTTTAAAATTTTTGATACTTTCTCAGTATTTTGGAAACTTGCATCAAAGTTTCAAAACTTTCCTTGAAGTTTCGAAACTTTATGTGCAGATAGCCACAATAATGAGAAATGAATGCTTTTAATAGCTATAATTCATCTCCAACGGCCATAAACGACTAGAAACTCATTCCACACTACAAAAACAATCAAAGGACACTTAAAAAGGCCATGACACTTATCCAAGCTTAAAGATCAAGAGAAAAGAGTCTTTCATTCTTATTTTTTTTCATTTTCTCTTGTTTATAGTGTATTGAGCCTTATTGACTATCTTTGTATTCATTATTTGTGAGCTTAGTCTTTGTAAACACCTACGTAGTAAGGTATTCGTTTTTATCCAAATCAAACATTGTAAAAGAGGAGTAGTTCTAGTTTAGCTTTAGAAAAACTAGAATGGTTTTATTTTAGCCATTGAAAAGATAGAGTTGTAAGGTTACACATTATCTTTAAAGGTAAAAACAAATTAGTGAATTTGTTAAAATCAAAGCTAAGGTAGTGGATGCAGACTTTGGTTGAGAAAATCGAACCACTATAAATCGATTTGTACAAAAAAATTATTTTTTGTTTAAGTTTACACCAAACTCTATCAATTCACCTCTTCTTGATGATTTTTAGTTGATCGATAGAGTCCAACACAAAAGGAAAAAAAGAACAATGAGAATTAACAAAAATTTGTCTAATACTGACAACAGAGCGAAGAACGGGATAAGAATTAAGCAAAACAAAAGAGTTAAGCTTACCCATACCTTGAAACTGAAATAAATTGAAAAGTAAGAGTTGAGCTTGAAATGGAACCACATATGGGGGCGGCGGGAAAAGGAAAATTAAGCAAAACAAAAGGGTTGTTGTTGGGATAGATATGCTGTTAGTGTGAGGATAAATGCTATTAATTCAAATTATTATTTAACATATATATTAGTTTTATTATAAATATAACAAGTTTTTAAATTAACTTTGTGGTTGGGTGTTTAGCTTTGGTTTGTGAATAATATGGGTTTGAATCTCATGGAAAACAATGTTTTATCAAATAACTCTAATAAAAAGACGTCGTTTTGAGTTTTTTGAGTATCAAAATAATTGTACCAAAACGACGTCGTTTTGATGAGAGAGCCACATCATCACCGTCACGGCACAGAGATACCATGTCATCACGCCGTTAATAGATTAACGGTGGAGTGGCAAAATTGTAGTTAAATATAAATGTCAGTGTTAAAATTGGTAAAATTAAAATGTCATTGGCTTAAACGAGCTCGAACTTAAAGGTGAGTGATATTTGAAGTAGCTTACCCTAAAATCAATACAGAAAATTTTCGCAAGAGATTCACCCACCAAAATTAAGTGTGTAATCAGGATTAATTCATATTAATCAAAGGAAAGCGTTAAAAACTCAAAGGATAATAAAAAAATAAATACATCTTATATTTGATAAAAGAAAAAATATTTACATTTATAATCGGAAGTTAATCTTTGATGTATTAATAATATATAATTATAATCATCGTTAATAAATCAAATTATCTCCTATCATTAAAATTGAACTTAGAAACATTTAATTTTTTTATTTATATCATTTGGTTCATTAATCAGTCATTATACACAATTAGTATATTGAATAAAAATCTGTGTTTGATAGGTTAATATTTAATATACTGATGATTTATATAATTTGGTTCATATAATTTGGTTCGCTAGTTATATATTGAATTATCTGCAACGGGTTAAATAAAACTTTATATTTGGTACGTTGCTCATTTTTTTTTCATCTTTGTTGAGAGACAATAACATCACCTGTAATGTTGGTTGTTGAGTGTTAATATTCTTTAATTTTTTTTATTTTTAATAAATCTATCTATATGGCGTGTTTTCATTTGCATTTATAATACGTTTTCTTCTGTCTTTTAACACGTTTTTTAGGTTGGTCGTTCTTTCACTAATTTTTTTTAAGGGTTGATTTGACATCGTCACGACTAATAAAGATGACGCTTATTTGTTATGTTGTTAATATTCTCTGTTTTGGACCATCGGATTGTATACCCGTTATGCGTTTGTGGATGACTTTTCACATCACTCGAGTCTGATTTACAGTTGATCTTTTAGTAGTTTGATTACTTTTTGTGATTTGTTTACCGATGCGAACAAATCTACTTGTATTTATCTTTATTCGAGTTTCTTAATTAAGTTTTAATCTTTCATTTTATAGTGTTTATGTGGTCTTAAGTTGTTAAATTTGTTTCAATGATTATTTGAAATTGTCCTACTTATAAGTATAATTTACTATTATAATTATAAATCTTCACGGTAATTTGTAATATTTCTTATTGAAATAAAATTGATAATTTTTATAAAAAAATAAAAAAATATTTTATAAGTTAATATTTGATATACCGTTGATGTATAATTATATACATCATTAATGAATCAAATTATGCATCGTCATTAGAAGTTAACTATAATTTTTTAGTGATCCTATTACTTAAAAGCCTTTAAAAAATTTCTTTTATTTTTCTTTCTGCAACGCCTCCTTTTCTTATGTTTGTGTGGCTAGCGACGGCGCACCAGTCCTGATATATATTGGTTATTGGCTTCTGCATTCTGCATTTTTTTCTTAACCTTTTTGCGTCACTTCTTTATCTTTTATTTATCTTTTTTGGCTTCACCTTGCTTTCTTAATATGTTTTTCTATGCTTTTGGTATATTTGTAACTTTTATCACTCATTTAATAATTATTATTTTTAAATTACTTAGAGTTGTATTTGATATCGTCTCGACTGATTAATATGACACTTATTTATTATCTTAGTGATCTTTCTTATTTTGGATCCAATATTAGATTTGGATACGTAGTTTACGTTTAGAGATATTTTTCTTATGACACTCAACTCTGATTTACATTTTTTAGTCTTTCAGTTGTTTGATCTTATATTGTGGTTTATTTATTAATGTAGTCAGATATATTAGCATCTATTTTTCTTTAATTTTTAAATGAATTTTTACTATTTTCCCTTATATAATCTTGAGTGCCTAAATTTTTGTATCAACGATTATAAAAAAAGTCATAATTATATATTTAATTTACGTTTATATAGTAAAGATTCCTTGTAATTTCGAAGTTGTGGTAACTATAGCTTTTTCTTTATTTTTTTCACTTCTTAAATTCCAAAACTAACAGCTTTCTGTTGTCAGTTGTCAACTTTCGCATGCAATTTCCTTGAAGCATCACTTACCCTAAACAATGATGACGTGATCAAATTAAATAGTCATAAGCAAAATGGGATATTCAGATGAAATTACCAATGACATGCATGGCAGGTTACATAGTTTGACTTCATTCGGGTCATTTTTTTAAAAGAAAATACCATTAAATAAATCAACTTTATAAATAGTCATTAAATTGTATCAAAATAATCTTTTTGAATATTTCATTTTTAAAAGTTACATAATGAATATTGAATTTTAATTTTGTTACGAAATTGACACAAAACCATTAAGAAATGTTTCATTTGACATGTTATAATTAAAAATTATTTTATTCTTAATTTTAATTGAAATGATTTTTATTAGGTTCAATGAATTGAAAACAAAATAGATATAGATAAAATAAATATCATCTTTTAATTGTATATTATAAACATTAAATTCATATCATATAAATTAAAAATTATTTGATATGATATTATAATATTATGGATGTATATTTTTAAATTTTTTTAAATAAAAGTTAAATGCTTAAATCGCATCATTAATAAAAAATAATTTTATTATTTGATAATATAAATTTTCGGACGTCGAAGATTATAATTTTTTTTAGTTTACAAATACAACAACAAATAAATAAATAATAGTTATAAATTGATTTTTGCTTAATAAAAAATAATTTCATTGTTTGATAACTGAATTTTTTGAAAATATTTTTATATTTTAAAAATAATTTATTCTCATATATTTAAAAAAATCTAAAATTTTTT